TGCTTCCTTAGCGCCTCACCTTTCCGCCAGAGATCGGAGTGGCGGCTCGCGAGCGCTTCAGGCTAAGGCTTCAGGCCATGACGCTGCGGGTCCGGAGCGATACACAACTGGGGGCATCAGAAGTCCCTTTCCCGGGGCCAACGGAGCCATCTCCAAGCTGGTGCCCTCCAAATGAGTTGGGCTTCAACTCCCAGAGGCTCTGCCAGCACATCTGGAGACCACCAGGATGCGCTAAAGCCTTTGATTGGTGATTCCACCTAAGTGTAATCCGGAGCCATCATCCTACTGGTGGGGGTGGCAGAATGCCAAACTAGACAGCGAATGCTGCATGATGTGGGGTCCCAGTATACCTATCCCTTTGTTAAATGCTCAGTCCATTTGCACAACACAAACAGTGGCGCATATAGTTATTTTAGATCATGCACCTGGGATGAGAAGAGAGTCATTTTCTTGCTGTGAGATTCACCAACCGAACATCACTGTTCCTGGGTGATTTTCTGCAAGTGTGGACAAGACTGACAGTATTCTAATAGTCTAAAACTGATCTGGATGATATTAGCATTCTTTCCAAAGGCACACCCACTCTTCCTTTTATGGACACTACATGGGAATGACATATTTTTAAATATTAAAAAATTTGTTGTTCAGTCGTTAAGTCATGTCCGACTCTTCGTGACCCCATGAACCATATCGCGCCCGGCCTTCCTGTCCTTCACTGCCTCCCTGAGTTTGCTCAGTTTCATGCTCATTGCTTCAGTGATGCTATCTAACCATCTCATCCTCTGCCATAACTCTCGTGCTTTCTCCATGATCCAGCGAATGTTGGCAATTTGATCTCTAGTTCCTCTGCCTCTTCGAAACTTTTACTTTCACCCTTGCTTTTCACATTAACTCTCGTGCTTTCTCCATGATCCAGCGAATGTTGGCAATTTGATCTCTAGTTCCTCTGCCTCTTCGAAACTTTTACTTTCACCCTTGCTTTTCACATTAACTCTCGTGCTTTCTCCATGATCCAGCGAATGTTGGCAATTTGATCTCTAGTTCCTCTGCCTCTTCGAAACTTTTACTTTCACCCTTGCTTTTCACATTAACTCTCGTGCTTTCTCCATGATCCAGCGAATGTTGGCAATTTGATCTCTAGTTCCTCTGCCTCTTCGAAACTTTTACTTTCACCCTTGCTTTTCACATTAACTCTCGTGCTTTCTCCATGATCCAGCGAATGTTGGCAATTTGATCTCTAGTTCCTCTGCCTCTTCGAAACTTTTACTTTCACCCTTGCTTTTCACATTAACTCTCGTGCTTTCTCCATGATCCAGCGAATGTTGGCAATTTGATCTCTAGTTCCTCTGCCTCTTCGAAACTTTTACTTTCACCCTTGCTTTTCACATTAACTCTCGTGCTTTCTCCATGATCCAGCGAATGTTGGCAATTTGATCTCTAGTTCCTCTGCCTCTTCGAAACTTTTACTTTCACCCTTGCTTTTCACATTAACTCTCGTGCTTTCTCCATGATCCAGCGAATGTTGGCAATTTGATCTCTAGTTCCTCTGCCTCTTCGAAACTTTTACTTTCACCCTTGCTTTTCACATTAACTCTCGTGCTTTCTCCATGATCCAGCGAATGTTGGCAATTTGATCTCTAGTTCCTCTGCCTCTTCGAAACTTTTACTTTCACCCTTGCTTTTCACATTAGCATCATCTTTTAGTATTTTAAATAACTCAGCTGGAATACTGTCATCTCCACTAGCTTTGTTGTTAATAATGCTTCCTAAGGCCCACTTCACTTCACCCTCTAGGATGTCTGGCTCAAGGTCCACACCACACCAGCATGGACATCAGGGACATTAAGCTCTTTCTTGTATAGTTCTTATGTGTATTCTTGCCACCTCTTCTTAATCTCTTCTGTTAGGTCCTTTATCATGCCCATCTTTGCACTAAATGTTCCTTTGATATCTCCAATTTTCTTGAAG